CCCCTCAAAAATATCCCCGCTGTTTTAAATTACCTTTTCTATCTCTATATTCATATCTAGATAGAGATTAAAATAGCATCACCGTTCGCGGGTTAGAAAAAGAGAGAAAGCAAGGGGGGGGGAATAAAGAGAGAAAGAGAAAGAGAAAGAAATCATCTCCAAAGACAGCTTTCTGTTTTAAAACCAGCGATCGGAGAAATAAATACGAGGCAGTAAATAGCTGGATTTCTTATCAGGAGCCCCCGTCGACTCTTCAAATAAAGCCAGGGGAAGAAAGGAAGAAAGAGGAGGGGGGTGGGGTGGGGGGAAAAGGGGTGAAAATAAAAAAAAAAAGAAGAAGTAGCTGTACCATGGCTAATATGAAGCTTCCTCATCCAAGGAAATATCTGTGGTGTTTGCCCTTCTGTTGCTGCTGTGGAGGTAGCGATGGGTTCTGTCTGTGTCCTGGGAATGCTGCTGTTTATTTGAGTGCCCTCTTCGGGTCCAGAGGACGCGCTGGTCTCGTCTATTTCTGTGAAATTTGTGTTAGCGCTAGCAGAAGTAGCCTGGTCGGAGGGGGACGGGGCAGATTTGCCTCCATGGCTCTCGCTGTTGGCGCACGGAAGGGGCTCGGGAGAGGACAAGGAGCAGCTAGACGCTTGCCTAAACCTGCTCTCCTGAGCTGGTGAAGGGAAGCCGCGGGAGCTTTCCCCCACAGCCCCAAAGTGGCTAGAAGAGGCTGAGCGGTTGATGCTAAGGTCCATCCCATTGTAGTTGTAGCCATACGAGCTGGAATGCATGGTGCTTGAATCTCTGTAAGAACCGTTCATAGAACTGCTGGTCCCATAATTTAGCAACTGATAGTCGGGGCCATTTGGATAGCGCCCTGAGAACGAGTTTACAAAGTAAGAGCTCATTTGGGTTATTTTGGAGGGCTTGATTTGTGGCTCGTGGTCGTTATAACCCTGTGCTTGACGATTTATGATGTATTAATGAATTATAGCAATGCACTGTACTTCGTTTTTGCTATGTATGCGGCCAAATATGGGGGGTGGGGGGGCGTTTGGGAATCACGTGCTTTTGTTGACCAGTCGTAAATTCTCACTGATGACCTCAAGAGGTAATTCATGCTCTATGGTTACAAATAATGACGATCTGAGAATCGTTAGGCCCAAGTCAATGCAAGGCTTCCAAAAAAAAAAAAAATCCATAAGACAGAGATTGTTCCTTGTTGGCGGAGCGCGCCACCTACTGGGGGTAGGGGGGATCGGCAGGCGTGGAGGTTGCTTCCTCAGCCTTTTTTTTTTTTGGAAGTCATTTAGTGACAATTTGCACTTTTAGCATGAGGGTCCTTAGGTTGCAAAGAAATCAATAAAATATTGCCAATCTGGACATAGGAGGACAGATTTGTGTGCATGTGTGGGGTGGGGGGCTTGCTTGTTTAAATTTTATTTTGCAACTATCTTGTCCCTTCCAGCTCAGAGCCCTTCTCAGTTGTGTGCGCGCGGGTCTGTGCTTCCCCAGCTTGTTATCTTTATTCATCTATTCCCCCTCTTTTATTGTCATGACATTCTAGGTAGGGGGTGAGGGTAAGGCGGGGGGGGGAAGGAATGGCCTTTAGGACTGGTGGGTCTGTGTCTTAATATCTGAGAAAAAAGAGCGAGAGGGGGGCAAGCCAGATGTGCTTTATTTATTCAATTCATTTATTTTCATTGGCACAATGAAAGTTTGGCTTTCTCCACATTCTGATCATATTATCAGATATACAGTAACACCTTGTGCTCCTGGCTGGGTGGGGGAGGGGGTGTCAAAAATGCAGAGGGGCTGAAGGGGGAAGCTGTCGAAACTGGTTGACAGGGCTGCATTTGAGTCTCGCTCCTGCATGCCTTTTCCTTCCTCTTTAAATAAAGCATTGTGCTGTGTTGTTTGTTTCTTTTCTATCACTGCAAAACTGCAAGAAATATTTGGGAGTAAGGCAACCTTGCCATTTAACCAACGTAGGGGAAGAAGACTGCTTTGTGCAGCGTTGCTAAATCGTTTCTTCTTCTTCTCCTCCTTCTCCTTCTCCTTCTTCTTCTTCTTCTTCTCCTTCTTCTCCTTCTTCTTCTTCTTCTCCTTCTTCTTCTTCTTCTTCCCAAGGCACTTTAGGAATTTCATATGCTCGTCTGCAACTCATTGGAAATTATGCGCCATATTGAAAGTGACATATAATTATAATAATTACGGGCAATGAAAAGAGTAGCAATAATAGTAAATGTCCTACAGCTGTGGAGCTTTTGCATGAATTGATTTTAAAAGTGACTGACATTAAAACAGCTCGTGACAGGAGGGAGTGCATTCGCACCTAGGTAGATTTCGGTGGGGAGGTAGGGAGAGGAGATGAGGTAAAGGTGAGGTAAAGTTATTATATATATATTCTCCCGTGAAGGGCTAGCAAATATTATCAGAATGGAGCTGAGCAAAGCTTCTGCCTTTAATCTGCCGATCAGAGAAGAAAGAACCCACTTCCTTTCGTTTAATACAAAATTTAAAAAAATCAAAGAGAATTTCCCTTCAGGCTGATATAATTTGCCCCTAGGCTTCTTAGTACAGATCATAAACCTGCCCCGTCCCACTCAAGGAGAGTCGGTACTTAAAAAGAGCCAGTTGTAAGACTCTCAGCTAAAGAATTCCTATTTCAAAGGCTCGAGCTAGCTTTAGCTGACTCTGTCTTTATGTTTTGCTTAAAGAAGTCCCATAATCTGGTAGGGAAAAAGTTAGAAGGTATTGGATTCAACCGTGGGGGTGGGGGGGGGCGGGGAATCAAACACTAAAAATAAAAACAGCCCAAAGCCTGAAATCAGCCCGACCTCTCTCTCTCTCTGATTTTGGAAAATGAAATAAGGGAACAGATGTTTGAAAGATGCTAGACAAATGTTAGGTATCTTTGGTGGATAGATGAGAGCATATTTTTTGCCTGTTTCCTTGATTTATTATGTATATGGAGAGCTTTTCGTCATAACTCTTTGTACTGTAACAATAAAAAAGAGCGATATTGAAGCAGAATGTCAGCGAGGAGATACTGTCGGTGAAAGGTCTTGCATTTAAGATTAGACAAAAAGGGGGAAAACCAGATTTATCTCCCAACTGTAACTTCCGTGTGCTTAGAGTTGCCTGTCCTTGCAGATTAGAAGCCAGTGTCACACACAGCGAACTACATTGCTTTTGCTTCCCAGCCCGGAGACTCCCAGGGCTGGCATATTTCCATAGAAAGAGGGAGAGAAAATAACACCAATGTGGTGGGGCATGAGATTGAATATTTGTTTTTATTAGAATATTCCATGTACATACCTAAGACAAACTACAAACACAACACGTACAAAAAATTAATAAAATAGAACTTTTTTTTTGTTGTTGCTTTTGCATTCTTTTAGGTAGTACTCGTTCCTTCAGTAGGGTTTTCTCTCTTTTAAAAAAAAAAAGAAAGAAACTAATTACAAAGACCCCAGGGCTTGATTAATTTACCAAAAGAAAAAAAAATCTGTAAGTCAATCGTGCATGAAACATTTTTACAAAATTAAGACAATAAACACCAAAAATGACATATATTGCATCACCTCCATTAAATACAAGAGTTAGCAGTTACTAACAGGGACACCAAAGGGGAGAAACACAGGTAAGAGTCTTTTTTTTTTTTTTTTGGAAGGAGGAATAGAAAGGAAGGGGGGGGGAAACTCAGCTAAGAAGCCTCATTGTGACAGATTATTGAAACAGGAGTCCCAGGGCTCACAATCTTCCAACTGTCTCCGCTATTTTACAGTTCAGCTCTGTCCCCTCCACCTTCCCTGATCTTCTCTCTTTCTCTCTCTCCTTCTTTCTCTCTCCCTCTCTCCCTCACCATGTGGGTCTCAATCTGCACCCCCACACCCCTTCCCCCTCACAGACTTACATGCAGGAGGCTGCTCTCCACGCTGCCAGGC